TTTTTTTAAAAAAATTATGCAGCCGAGGTGGTGCAGTGGTTAGGGTGCAGTACTGCAGGCCACTTCAGCTGACTGTTATCTGCAGTTTGGCGGTTCTAATCTCACCGGCTCAAGGTTGACTCAGCCTTCCATCCTTCCGAGGTGGGTGAAATGAGGACCCAGACTGTGGGGGCAATATATGCTGACTCTGTAAACCGCTTAGAGAGGGCTGAAAGCCCTATGAAGCGGTATACAAGTCTAACTGCTACTGCTATTGCTATCATATTGTATTGTTACATGTAAGTCTAGGAAGAGCTTCAAGGGCCTCTGCAAATTTGTTAGTGTCCTTCCCGATTTTTTGTTTTTAGGAAAGGACAAATGCTCGTTGCTTTGTCAATGGCCATGATTCTTCTGTTGGCAGACCTCCTGAAAATAGATCTGGGAAGAACCGATACGAAACTTTTTCATAGACTTTTATAGATGCAATGCAACAAAATTAAATGCATTATTCATTATCATATAATAAAATGGTTTTCATTGTTGCAGTAAACCAGCAGGCTACGTAAATAAAAATGTAAACATTTTCTATTGATTTTATCAGTAGAAGAAGTCACCAACCTGGCGTCCCGCCGTCTGTCTGTGAGTCCATCATGTACATCCAGTACATCGCATAGAAACTATTCTTTCCGACGTGGGTCAGTGTGGTCAGTGCGTTCCGCAGTCAGTGCTGAAGGTAAGGGAACTTGAGATTGAGAGTTAATTGTCTTATGATTCTTATTGATTCCGCCTTAATTTTATTTCTGTGATAAAATGTGTTGGAAAAGATGCTACTTAGATTCCTGGTTTTTTTTTGCCACTATGGGTTAACATAGCTGACTTCCTACAGTATTTAAAATATAATTATGTAATCTTCAGTGTGAGGTGTCCTAATTCTCATCACGATGAGAACTTTATTATCCAGGGAATCATCTCGAGTTAAATCAACAATTTTTAATGTGTGGATATTATTTTAAGCTCCAGTCTGGGTCCATCCAAGAGGTTTATTCTTCTGAGCTTTCAAACTCGTGCTGGAGCCCATTCTCAGGGAACTTCTCTCTGATGGAATGTGTTAGACCTTAAACACTCAAAGAGATGTTTGGACCCGTTTCCCACAGGAAAGAAAACACCGGGAGCCACAAAACTTGGGTGGGCATCGCCAACTTGATGTCACTCACTCCCACCCAGTCAAATGACCCCCTAGCCACACCTACCCAGCTGGTCATTAGGGCAGAGAATGGTTGTTAAAAAACACCGAGAACCATAAAACCCTTTTGACATCCCTCCCCCCCTCTCTCTGTGTCTGTCTGTCTGTCTGTCTGTCTCTCTATCTATCTATCTAGCTATCTAGCTATCTAGCTATCTCTTCCCCTCTATGTTTCTCTCTCTCCTCTCCCCTCTCTGTGTCTCTCTCTGTGTGTGTCTCTCTCTCCCCACCTCTCGCTCCTCCTCTCTCTGTATCTCTCTATTTGTCTCTCTCTCTTCCTCTCCCCCTCTCTATCTCCCCCTCTCTCTGTATCTCTCTCTTTCCCTTCCTCCTCTCTCTCTCTCCCCCCTCTCTCTCCCCCTCTCTCTGTATCTCTCTCTTTCCCTTCCTCCTCTCTCTCTCTCCCCTCTCTTTCTCTCTTTCCCTCCCTCTCTCTTTCGCTCCCTCTCTCTTTCGCTCCCTCTATTTCTCTCTCTCTTTCCCTCCCTCTCTTCCTACCCCCTCTCTCACTCTCTGGGGGGGGGGAAGGAACCCCTGAACTGGTGCTGGGTGGTGGGATTCTGATGCCCGGAGGTCGATGAGCCCAGGAGCAGTGTGTTGAAGACATCTGGTCAGTGGGGAGGTGGGGCATCACAACACCAGTGGCTCTTCAGGAAAAGCAACTGAACATCTGGGAGGAGAGAGCAAACCGCATAGGTCAGGGTATCATTGTGGCTCTGTGTCGTAATGGGCTCCAGGAGGAGGGGACCCTGCCTCCTTCATTGTGAAGCATGTTCAATTTCATTGTGCTGCACCAGGTGCTTCGAGAAGCGCCAACAGCAAATTTGTGTGACGGAGGCACGCAAGGGCAAGGGCAGGGGCAGGGGCCCTTTGCTCCCACAGTAAGGCTTCTGCCATCACCACTGCCATGACAGGTCAACAGCTCTTTCATCTCTCTTCCAGGAATGGAAGACAGGAATGAAAGAGCCTCTGGAGCTGCAGGTTGCCAACACCCGTGTCCATTGTCCACCCGTAGAGATCCGGACGCTTTCCACTCTCTCGGCCTTCCGAAAAGCCACTAAAACCTGGCTATTCTGGCAGGCCTTGGGCTGTTGAACAATGTCCAGCCCCACTTAGACAGAATGGATGGCGTGTTATTTTTAAAATAACTGTATCTTTTATTCTTAATTTTTAATTTTTTTATCTTCTCTCTGTAAGCCGTCCAGAGTCCTCCGGGATTGGGCGGCATACAAATTTATTAAATTTCAAATTTCATTCTGTTAGAGAGAAGGAGCAGTGTGAAGGTCACTGAGGATGGGCACCACTGCAAGTCCAAAAGCTCGGAAGATTAACCTCTGATCCTGGTGACGAAGCCAGAGTGGATTTTAAAATAATATCCACATTAAAAATTACTGACCTTGCATCATTACCCATTATGGACATGTATATTTGCCTTCACTTGTGATATTATTTTAGAACCTGTTATTTTGTGTGGCATTTAATGTGGCAGATTATTTTACATTAAAACAATGCCTATGTTGCTTGTGCCCAGATCTGTACCCATGATTAATGTTCATTTTTTAGTTGGTTTA